GCAGCTACAGTAAGCTACACACTGCCGTCTGAGTTAAAGCTGCTGTGGTGACTTTACCAGCAGCTACAGTAAGCTACACACTGCTGTCTGAGTTAAAGCTGCTGTGGTGACTTTACCAGCAGCTACAGTAAGCTACACACTGCTGTCTGAGTTAAAGCTGCTGTGGTGACTTTACCAGCAGCTACAGTAAGCTACACACTGCTGTCTGAGTTAAAGCTGATGTGGTGACTTTACCAGCAGCTACAGTAAGCTACACACTGCTGTCTGAGTTAAAGCTGCTGTGGTGACTTTACCAGCAGCTACAGTAAGCTACACACTGCTGTCTGAGTTAAAGCTGCTGTGGTGACTTTACCAGCAGCTACAGTAAGCTACACACTGCTGTCTGAGTTAAAGCTGCTGTGGTGACTTTACCAGCAGCTACAGTAAGCTACACACTGCTGTCTGAGTTAAAGCTGCTGTGGTGACTTTACCAGCAGCTACAGTAAGCTACACACTGCTGTCTGAGTTAAAGCTGCTGTGGTGACTTTACCAGCAGCTACAGTAAGCTACACACTGCTGTCTGAGTTAAAGCTGCTGTGGTGACTTTACCAGCAGCTACAGTAAGCTACACACTGCTGTCTGAGTTAAAGCTGCTGTGGTGACTTTACCAGCAGCTACAGTAAGCTACACACTGCTGTCTGAGTTAAAGCTGCTGTGGTGACTTTACCAGCAGCTTAAGTAAGCTACACACTGCCGTCTGAGTTAAAGCAGCTGTGGTGACTTTACCAGCAGCTACGGTAAGCTACACACTGCTGTCTGAGTTAAAGCTGCTGTGGTGACTTTACCAGCAGCTACGGTAAGATACACACTGCTGTCTGAGTTAAAGCTGCTGTGGTGACTTTACCAGCAGCTACAGTAAGCTACACACTGCTGTCTGAGTTAAAGCTGCTGTGGTGACTTTACCAGCAGCTACAGTAAGCTACACACTGCCGTCTGAGTTAAAGCTGCTGTGGTGACTTTACCAGCAGCTACAGTAAGCTACACACTGCTGTCTGAGTTAAAGCTGCTGTGGTGACTTTACCAGCAGCTACAGTAAGCTACACACTGCTATCTGAGTTAAAGCTGCTGTGGTGACTTTACCAGCAGCTACAGTAAGCTACACACTGCTGTCTGAGTTAAAGCTGCTGTGGTGACTTTACCAGCAGCTACAGTAAGCTACACACTGCTGTCTGAGTTAAAGCTGCTGTGGTGACTTTACCAGCAGCTACAGTAAGCTACACACTGCTGTCTGAGTTAAAGCTGCTGTGGTGACTTTACCAGCAGCTACAGTAGGTTAGACACTGCTGTCTGAGTTAAAGCTGCTGTGGTGACTTTACCAGCAGCTACAGTAGGTTAGACACTGCTGTCTGAGTTAAAGCTGCTGTGGTGACTTTACCAGCAGCTACAGTAAGCTACACACTGCTGTCTGAGTTAAAGCTGCTGTGGTGACTTTACCAGCAGCTACAGTAAGCTACACACTGCTGTCTGAGTTAAAGCTGCTGTGGTGACTTTACCAGCAGCTACAGTAGGTTAGACACTGCTGTCTGAGTTAAAGCTGCTGTGGTGACTTTACCAGCAGCTACAGTAGGTTAGACACTGCTGTCTGAGTTAAAGCTGCTGTGGTGATGCGCATTATCCACTTTAATTCCCTGAACATCAACAATCATGCATGTCAGTGCATACAGCATAACAGAGTAAATAAAATCTACACCTGTTATCGTTTAGCGTTCATTAGTGTGTCCTATAAGTTCTCGTTTTGTTAGTCATGTAGCATGTGTGATTGAGCTTACTGTCTACTAGACTGTGTTTCGTTCCTCCTCTGTTTGGAGAGGTTTTCGCACTTGTTGTGCGCGTTGTAATTTTTCTTGTGTGTTTTACGCCTGTGTGCGTAATCGCTTGCCTTTAGGCTCTTTTGGATCGTTTGGAGTGTTGGATCACTAAAGTCTGTTGGACTGAGCTTCTGCGTCCTGCGCTTGATTTCCTGCACCACATCTACACACAGCACCTTCTGACATGGGTTTTGTTTCAAAATGTATTACTGGGGTGGTATTCCTTAAATTCTTGATGAAGGCTCTGATTAATGTGCCGATTATATATTTAGTTGGAAGCTGTTTTAAAAGCATAGAAAATGCCCCAATCTTTGTCTGACACGCTTTGGACAGTCATACAGTGCTTTAACCTTATCAAATGATCCGTAAGGGGACCACTGAATATTTCTCAGAACCCTTTTTACACCACATATGTACATCTACGTGTGGGTGTTCAAGTTGTATTTTCCCCACTGGATCAGCACCTCCAACGGTGCTCTTAGAGGGTTTAGTACCCATGATTTCTAATAGTCTTCTTAGACCCTTATTATGACACCATCTCTAATAACCCATTATACACACATACAACTTGGTAACCCTCATATATGCAAACCGATTATACATTCAGTATTATAATACTGCAGGCTATCCAATTCCTACTTGCAGGCTATCCAATTCCTACTTGCAGGCTATCCAATTCCTGCTAATAGACTGGTCCAACAGTATATTTCAGGTGATTATAGGCAAACCAATTCCTAATATTGGAGACACCAATGTGCTCCCATTGATCAATGTTAACTGGTCAGATTCATTATTATAGGGAAATAGTTCTGCCAAATTGAACGCCATCATTTTGTGGATGAGGAGGACAAGAGATCTTTCACCATTAAGGCTTGGCTGAAAAACAGACAGTCCCTCACAGAGGTCTTTCACCATTAAGGCTTGCATTAAGCATTGTCTTGCATTAGGAGGAACCCAGGGCCAACCACACCAGCATATGGTCTCACAAGGGGTCTGAGGATCTCATCTCGGTACCTAATGGCAGTCAGGCTACCTCTGGCGAGCACATGGAGGGCTGTGCGGCCCCCCCAAAGAAATGCCACCCCCACCATGACTGACCCACCGCCAAACCGGTCATGCTGGAGGATGTTGCAGGCAGCAGAACGTTCTCCACGGCGTCTCCAGACTCTGTCACATCTGTCACATGTGCTCAGTGTGAACCTGCTTTCATCTGTGAAGAGCACAGGGCGCCAGTGGCGAATTTGCCAATCTTGGTGTTGTCTGGCAAATGCCAAACGTCCTGCACGGTGTTGGGCTGTAAGCACAACCCCCACCTGTGGACGTCGGGCCCTCATACCACCCTCATGGAGTCTGTTTCTGACCGTTTGAGCAGACACATGCACATTTGTGGCCTGCTGGAGGTCATTTTGCAGGGCTCTGGCAGTGCTCCTCCTTCTCCTCCTTGCACAAAGGCGGAGGTAGCGGTCCTGCTGCTGGGTTGTTGCCCTCCTACGACCTCCTCCATGTCTCCTGATGTACTGGCCTGTCTCCTGGTAGCGCCTCCATGCTCTGGACACTACGCTGACAGACACAGCAAACCTTCTTGCCACAGCTCGCATTGATGTGCCATCCTGGATGAGCTGCACTACCTGAGCCACTTGTGTGGGTTGTAGACTCCGTCTCATGCTACCACTAGAGTGAAAGCACCGCCAGCATTCAAAAGTGACCAAAACATCAGCCAGGAAGCATAGGAACTGAGAAGTGGTCTGTGGTCACCACCTGCAGAACCACTCCTTTATTGGGGGTGTCTTGCTAATTGCCTATAATTTCCACCTGTTGCCTATTCCATTTGCACAACAGCATGTGAAATGTATTGTCAATCAGTGTTGCTTCCTAAGTGGACAGTTTGATTTCACAGAAGTGTGATTGACTTGGAGTTACATTGTGTTGTTTAAGTGTTCCCTTTATTTTTTTGAGCAGTGTAGTTCTGCCAAATTGAACGCCATCATTTTGTGGATGAGGAGGACAAGAGATCTTTCACCATTAAGGCTCGGCTGGAAAACAGACAGTCCCTCACAGAGAGGTCTCTTACATTTTTTAAGTAGTGGCCAGAGGGATGTCCGAGTCCATCCGGGTCACAGCACCAAATGTTGTGGAAATTAAGATCCAAAGATGAAGGCAGAGATTATTTAATTGTGTAATAGAAAAATCTTTAATCAAGCAGCTGCAGGGGAGATTATTCTGATTTCACAGGGAAGAATTTAAAGAATAAATGGTTACATGTCCCTTATATAGTGGGAGGTGATAATACAATCATATTGTTACACAACAGTTATTTTATAAAAGCAACAGTTCCAGAACACAATGGCCTTGTGTCAGGGTACAGATACACCAGGAGTCTATGAAAGGCATAACATCACAGTCCAACACAGAACATATCCCTTGAGAAGTTACAACAGCTCACCGCAAATTATGGCACCACACTAGCTTTCACTCAAATGTGAGGGGCTGATGCTCATTGGCTAGGGGGTGAAATGTAGGGAGGGCAGTAATTCTGCATGTATGAACTACACATTGACACATCCAGCCCAAAGCGGGAGGTTAAAAAAATATGTTCTTAGTCGCCAAAGTAATGGAGCATGTTTTTAACATTTATAACCCTTAAACCTTTTTTATTATAACCATTATAACCCTTATTACTTAACCAGTATAACCTTTATAACCATTATAACCAGTATAACCATTATAACCAGTATAACCCTTATTACGTAACCATTATAACCATTATAACCATTATAACTATTATAACCATTATAACCCTTATTACTTAACCATTATAACCATTATAACCATTATAACCATTATAACTATTATAACCATTATAACTATTATAACCATTATAACCCTTATTACTTAACCATTATAACCATTATAACCATTATAACCCTCATTACTTAACCATTATAACTATTATAACCATTATAACCCTTAAAACCATTATAACCCTGGCTTATAACCCTTATTACTTAACCATTATAACCCTTATAACCCTCATTACTTAACCATTATAACCATTATAACCCTTATAACCCTCATTATTTAACCATTATAACCATTATAACCATTATAACTTATAACTCAATAGTTATGGGAATTACCACCGGACAAAACTCATCACTTTTCATCACAGTCACAGTCACAGTCATTTTCCTCTGACTCATCCCCTTTTTCTCTTGGCCTCTTTCTGCTCCCCTCTAACTCTCCGCTCATTTCTCCGCTCCTCCCTGTATCATCCTGTTTTCCATTCTGACAATCATCTGGGAACACCTTGACACCATCGTTGGAGTGCTTGACATCACCATAATACTGGTTCAGCATCTTATACAGGTCTGCCAAGGTGTTTGAGGGCAATGTTTCTTTCCCCGTTTCCTTTTTGTTCTCACCCCAGTGTGCTCCGGCCACCCACTTTCCCTGTTTGTTTTTACAGCAGTAGGCTGTCCACAGGAGAGATGGGATGTTCACTCGGTTGTTCAGTGTGTTGCTCTTACTGGGCACCGCTCCAGTCACCACATAGGCCTTGGGCTTACCGGTATTATCTCGGCATTGGCTTAGGAGAACCTTTCTAACTTCACACTCCATCCTTCCCCAGCTGCCGTCGTTAAATGACTCTACCTGAGGAACACAGTTGGTCAGGGTAAAAGTGGAGTTCTGATTAGCGGGATGGGGTGCGTAACTTTTGGGGAAAATGTGCCCTTTGTTCAGCCCTGTTGGGTTTACAGAGGTGAGGAAGTCCTGATTGACAGCCTGGTGTGTATAAGTGACTCCGTCATTCTCCAGACTCATATCTGGGTCTGGTTCTCCGTCCAGCTGTAGAAACAATATTCATAAATCATTCAATGCAGTTATACTGTATACAGGCACTGCACTGACCTGTATATCAGACCTGTATATCAGACCTAAACAGTGCCTTCGGAAATTGACTTTTTCCACATTGTTACATTACAGCCTTATTCTAAAATGGATTAAATCGTTTTTTCCCCCCTTATCAATCCACACACAATGTTAGCAAATACATTAAAAATAAAAAAAACTGAAATTTCACATTTACATAAGTATTCAGAACCTTTACTCAGTACTTTGTGGAAGCACCTTTGGCAGCGATTACAGCCTTGAGTCTTCTTGGGTAAGATGCTACAAGCTTGGCACACCTGTAGTTGGGGAGTTTCTCCCATTCTTCTCTGCAGATCCTCTCAAGCTCTGTCAGGTTGGATGGGGAGCGTCGCTGTACAGCTATTTTCAGGTCTCTCCAGAGATATTCAAATCAGGTTCAAGTCCAGGCTCTGGTTTGTCCACTCAAGAACATTCAGAGACTTGTCCTGAAGCCAATCCTGCGTTGTCTTGGCTGTGTGCTTAGGGTCGTTGTCCTGTTGGAAGGTGAACCTTCGCCCCAGTCTGAGGTCCTGAGTGCTCTGGAGCAGGTTTTCATCAAGGATCTCTCTGTACTTTGCTCCATTCATCTTTCCCACGATCCTGACTAGTCTCCCAGTCCCTGCCGCTGAAAAACTTCACCGTACGGATGGTGCCAGGTTTCCTCTAGACGTGACGCTTGGCATTCAGGCCAAAGAGTTCAATCTTGGTTTCATCAGACCAGAGAATCTGGTTTCTCATGGTCTGAGAGTCCTTTAGGTGCCTTTTGGCAAAATCCAAGCGGGCTTTAGAGGCCATGCAATTCAGTACTCATCTCGAAAACAAAAGCAATTTAGGTGAAAAGAGTCCACACTAACAAAGGAAATAGAAGGTCTAACAGAACAGATAGATAGCAATAAAAACTGTAACATAGAGGCTCAGAATAAATTAGAGGAAAAACAAAAAGAAATGAAGAAACTTATTCAAGAAAGATCAAGTGTAATATTTTATAAAAATAAAGCAAACTGGATGGAATATGGGGAAAAATGCACCAAATTCTTGTTTAATCTTCAACATAGGAATGCTACCAAAAAGAATATACTGAAACTGGTTACAAATGACGGAGTCACCCAGGATTCACCAAATTATATTTTGATGGAGGAAACAAAGTACTTTAAGCATATGTTTTCGTTTCAGTCACCTTCATCTCCTTTAACTGAAGCTAATTGTAGACATTTTTTTCTATTGATAATGTAAAATTAACAGCCATACAGAAAGACTCATGTGAAGGTGAAATTACAGAGGAGGAACTTCTAGATGCAATTAAAGACTTCAAGTCCGGGAAAACTCCAGGGTTGGATGGCATACCAGTCGAAGTATACCAAACCTTTTTTGATGTACTCAGAGGACAGTTATTAGCATGTTTTAACCACTCCTATGTAAATGGTAGATTATCTGACACTCAAGAAGAAGGTCGGATTTCATAATTACTGAAACATGATACATGTGGAAAATATAAAGATCCAGTCCATTTAAAAACCTTACACTTCAGTGTTGTGATGCAAAAATCCTAGCAAAATGTATAGTGCATAGAATTAAAAAGGTATTGTCGGACATTATTCATTCTAATCAGACAGGTTTTTTACATGGACGATACATCGGAGATAATATTAGGCAAGTACTGGAAACAATCGAACACTATGAAAAATCTGGGAAACCAGGCCTGCTATTCATAGCAGACTTCGAAAAGGCATTTGATAAAGTACGACTGGGGTTTATATATAAATGCCTGGAGCATTTCAATTTTGGAGAATCACTTATAAATTGGGTTAAAATCATGTATAGTAACCCTAGGTGTAAAATTGTCAATAATGGCTATTTCTCAGAAAGTTTTAAACTGTCAAGAGGAGTGAAACAAGGTTGTCCACTATCGGCATAACTATTTATTATGGCCATCGACATGTTAGCTATTAAAATCAGATCCAACATTAATATCAAGGGATTAGAAATCCAGGGCTTAAAAACAAAGGTGTCATTGTACGCATGTTATCTTTTAAATCCACAACTTGAATCCCTCCACAGCCTCATAGAGGATCTAGATACATTTTCTAACCTCTCTGGATTACAACCAAATTATGACAAATGTACTATATTACGTATTGGATCACTAAAAAATACAATTTTTACATGACCTTGTAGTTTACCAATAAAATGGTCTGATGGTGATGTGGATATACTCGGAATACATATCCCAAATGAAATAGATGTTCTCACTCCAATACATTTTAATAGAAAGTTAGAAAAAATAGATAAGATCTTGCTACCATGGAAAGGTAAATACCTGTCAATTTGTGGGAAAATCACCCTGATTAACTCTTTAGTATTATCCCAGTTTACCTATTTGCTTATGGTCTTGCCTACGCCTAGCGAACAGTTTTTTAAATTATGAGAAAAAAATATTCAATTTTATTTGGAACGGCAAGCCAGACAAAATTAAACAGGCCTATTTATATAATGAATATGAATTCGGAGGACAGAAATGATTCAATATTAAAGCATTAGACCTATCACTAAAGGCTTCAGTCATACAAAAGTTATACTTAAATCCGAACTGGTTCTCTAGCAAATTAGTAAGATTGTCTCACCCAATGTTCAAGAATGGCCTTTTTCCCTTTATTCAGATTACAACCTCTCACTTTCAGTTATATGAAAAGGAAATCATCTCCCAAATATCACTATTTCTAAAACAAGCCATAGAAAAAGTTGGTTGCAATTTCAATTTAATCCTCCAGAAACGACAGAACAAATAATGCAACAAATATTGTGGTTAAACTCAAATAAAATAATTGATAAAAAACCTCTTTTTTTTAACAAAATGTTTAAAAAAGGTATAATCTTCGTAAATGTTATCATCGGTAGGACTGGTGGAGTTATGTCGCACATGCAGCTAACAACAACATATGGAAATGTCTGCTCTACCCAAAACTACAACCAAATAATTGCAGCATTACCGCAAAAATGGAAGAGGAAAGTGGAAGGAGGAGAAAGTAAGGAACTTGTCTGTCGGCCTTGCATTAAAGAACATAATTGGTTAAGGAAAACTGTGATAAATAAAAAAGTATAACAGTTTCATTTAAGGACCAAAAGATTGACAGCCGTCCTATATAGATTGCAAAATAGTTGGGAAGAGATTTTTGACGTACCGATTCCATGGCATAGCATTTATGAACTGATACGTAAAACGACGCCGGATTCAAAACGTACCATTTTTCAATTGAAATTACTATATAAAATTCGTGCTACCAATAGAACGTTATTTATATGGGGGATACAATCTTCCCAGCTCTGCAGATTTTGCTGCGAAGAGACAGAATCATTAGATTATTTGTTTTGGTACTGTCCATTTGTAGCTTGTTTTGGACACAGGTCCAGGAATGGCTAAAGGATTGCAATATTTACCTGGAGCTAACCCTGCAGATAGCATTACTGGGTGATCTGAAAAGTCATAGTCAATCGATCAATAATATAATAATACTTTTAGCAAAAATGTTTCTTTTCAATTTACAATATGTAGAAACATTGAGAATAGAAAGGTTCAGAACTTTTGTAAAACGTCACAGTACAGTTGAAAAATATATGGCAAATAGAAATCCAATATGGATGGTGTTAAGAGATAGATGGGAGGGGTTGAATGGAGCTGAAGGATGGGACTAATAACAACTAACAACAACTAATAACAACAAGATAACTAATAATGTAAGCATACTGTGTCCATAATAAGTATATAGGTTATAGGTTGAGAGCTTTTGTGAAAGAGCACAGTTAGAAAGATATGGCATATAGAAGCAAACCGGATTGACATCATGAACAATGATCGGAGAGGTTGAGGAAGTTCATGAGTAAAAACAAACAAAATAGAATTATTGTAAAATTGACTGTGTCCATAAAATGTATATAGTATGTATAAGCTGGAAAGTAGAGGCCCTAAGCATTGTTGTTTCAACTAGTTTACTCCAATTAGAGAAGGGGTGGTGGGGTTGGAAAGTAATAAAGGGAAATATATTTTTTTAAGGATATGTATGTCTGTATGATGTATGTATGTATGTAGATATGTATTATACAGCTCTGGAAAAAATTAAGAGACCACTGCAAAATTATCAGTTCTCTGGTTTTAATATTTATAGGTATGTGTTTGGGTAAAAATAACATTTTTGTTTTATTATAAACTACTGACAACCATTCTCCCAAATTCCAAATAAAATATTGTCATTGGAGCTTTATTTGCCAGAAAAGTGACAACATGTCAAACCTAACAAAAAAATATGCAGTTGTTGTCAGACCTCGAATAAGGCAAAGAAATAAGTTAATGTTCCATTTTTAAACAACACAATACTAATGTTTTAACTAGGGAAGAGTTCAGAAATACAATATTTGTGGAATAACCCTGATTTCCACTATGTTTTAACTTAGGAAGAGTTCAGAAATCAATGATTTGGTGGAATAACCCTGATTTTCAATCACAGCTTTCATGCATCTTGGCATGCTCTCCACCATCTTTCACATTGATGTTGGGTGACTTTATGCCACTCCTGGCGTAACAATTCAAGCAGCTCGGCTTTGTTTGATGGCTTGTGACCAACCATCTTCCTCTTGATCACATTCCAGAAGTTTTCAATGGGGTTCAGGTCTGGAGATTGGGCTGGCCATGACAGGGTCTTTATCTGGTGGTCCTCCATCCACACCTTGATTGACCTGGCTGTGTGGCATGGCGCATTGTCCTGCTGGAAAAACCAATCCTCAGAGTTGGGGGAACAATGTCAGAGCAAAAGGAAGCAAGTTTTCTTCCAGGACAACCTTGTACGTGGCTTGATTCATGCGTCCTTCACAAAGACAAATCTGCCCGATTCCAGCCTTGCTGAAGCACCCCCAGATCATCACCGATCCTCCACCAAATTTCACAGTGGGTGCGAGACACTGTGGCTTGTAGGCCTCTCCAGGTCTCCGTCTAACCATTAGATGACCAGGTGTTGGGCAAAGCTGAAAATTGGACTCATCAGAAGAAGATGACCTTACTCCAGTCCTCTACGGTCCAATCCTTATGGTCTTTTGCAAACCTCAGCCTGGCTTTTCTTTGCTTCTCATTGACGAAGGGCTTTTTTATAGCTTTGCACGACTTCAGCCCTGCCCTTAGGAGCCTGTTTCGAACCGTCCTCGCCGTGCACTTCACGCCAGCTGCCGTTTGCCATTCTTTTTGTAGGTCACTTGATGTCATCTTACGGTTGTTGAGTGACATTCAAATGAGTTGGCGGTCATCCCGGTCAGTAGAGAGTCGTTTTCGACCCTCTGCCGGTCTGTAGCTTTGTTGTCCCCAATGTCTGCTGCTTGACCTTGTTCTTATGAACCGCCGTCTTTGAAATTTTAAGGATGGCAGCAACCTGATGCTCACTGTATCCCTCTGCCAGTAAAGACAGAATTGAACCCTTCTTTTCCTCAATCAAAACTTTCCTTTTCAACTCTTTTGGCATGGTCAATAGTTATTTTTTGATTAATATTACATTTGAGGTACAATTAGCACTTTTTTTGCCATCCAGCTGGTCCTATTGCAAGAGGATAGTGATTATACTTTTCCTCGTTAAATAAGATTTGGTTCAGGTGATCACCTAATCAGTACCTAATTCAGTAGAATGAGGTGTGCCTGTGTTGGAATTCAACAGACACTGGAATGGAATGGCTTTCATACATGTAGAGATGCTGATTTAAGAAAAATGTGCAGTGGTCTATTAATTTTTTCCAGAGCTGTATATATATTTGCGAGAACAAAAAAAACAACATATGGGGGATTGGAAGTGACGCAGACAATAAAAAAATTGAAAATAAATAAAAATAAAAACTCCAAGGGGGCTGTCATGTGCCTTTTACTGAGGAGTGGCTTCTGTCTGACCACTACCACAGAGGCCTGATTGGTGGAGTGCTGCAGAGATGGTTGTCCTTCTGGAAGGTTCTCCTATCTCCACAGAAGAACTCTGGAGCTCTGTCAGCGTGAACATCGGGTTCTTGGTCACCTCCCTGACCAAGGCCCTTCTCCCCCGATTGCTCAGTTTGGCCGGGAGGCCAGCTCTAGGAAGAGTATTGGTGGTTCCAAACTTCCTCCATTTAAGAATGATGGAGGCCACTGTGTTCTTGGGGACCTTCAATGCTGCAGAAATGTTTTGGTACCCTTCCCCAGATCTGTGCCTCGACACAATCCTGTCTCAGAGCTCTACGGACAATTCCTTCGACCTCATGGCTTGGTTTTTGCTCTGACATACACTGTCAACTGTGGGACCTTTTATAGACAGGTGTGTGGCTTTCCAAATCATGTCCAATCGATTGAATTTACCACAGGTGGACTCCAATGAAGTTGCAGAAATATCTCAAGGATGCTCAATGGAAACAGGATGCACCTCAATTTCGAGTCTCATAGCAAAGGGTCTGAATACTTATGTAAATAAGGTATTTCAGTTTTTTTATTTTGGAAACTATCCGATACAGACATGCAATCTTGCTAGACAAGGACAGTAGTAATGGTCTATTCAAGGTTATTGTTCAACGTTGGCATTAAATGTCGAATTTGATTATTATTTTTTAATTACCTGAGGTTCAATCATCCATGTATCTGGTCTGCTCTCGCTTGGTCCAACCCCAGTGAAGGTGAAGGCTGAGAACACAGGGATCTTGTTGATCGTGTCGTAGAGAGTTGCAAACATGTAGGTGTTGTAGACTTCCCTTTTCTTCATGTATTTAAACAACTGGCAGATAGGCTTGTAGCGGTTCTGGTCCTGGACTGTCCCATCAACCAAAATACCCGGGAGATTTGGAGTTGTCCCCTCCAGGAAGAAATCACTGCACTCTTTAACTTCGCTGAACTTCCCCACTACATGAGAGAGAGAAGGAGGAAGGAGAGAGAGGAGGAGGAGAGCAGAGAGATGATTCAATACCTCCATCATCACCTGAAGACTGGACACCACAGAGACAAAGATGAAGTTACAGAGACCAGTTGGTAGACTGGAGACTGCTGAGCTGAGCCAGGACAGACTGCTTTAAATAGGTTTTCAGAGACCAGTTGGTAGACTGGAGACTGCTGAGCTGAGACAAGACAGACTGCTTTAAATAGGTTTTCAGAGACTCCTCCTTCAGACGTCAAGACAGATAGGGTTGATTTGCATAAACTCCTCTGTATGGTTACATGGAAACTGCTGTAACAAATAAAATGTGACTCAACTTCTGTAGATTCTAACACGTATGGACCCAGAACTTAATTATGCAAGATTTTAGTTCTGGGTTAACAAGATTAGACTGCTCTAAAAAGTGACTGCATCCACACTTTGGTTTTGGTAGAAAAACTTTCCTTTACTCAGCATAGCGTGGGACAGAAGTTACGCATCACACTATTACAACAGTGGGACTGTTTTGGAATTATGGTTGCTGAGTTCACATTCATTAATATCCCACAAGGCTTAGCGCCTCTGACTCAGCAACTCAAAGAAGTAACACTTGTATTTCCCTTGACCAGCAAGTAAAAATATTTAGTATGATGTCTCAAAGGCCTCACATTCATTACAGATATCTATACAACTGAATGAAATGGAGGAAGATGTTTACAACTGAATGAAATGGAGGAAGATGTTTACAACTGAATGAAATGGAGGAAGATGTTTACAACTGAATGAAATGGAGGAAGAAATCAAATGTCAATCAACTTTCCACCTATGATTTTGCCTCTAACACGCTTACTGGAAATCAGAAGATGCATATAATGGATGTTTCATTTCTTTGTGTTGTTTAGGTTGGTGTATTCTGTGGTCTGACCACGGCTGAGTTTATTTCCAGAAACGTAAGTAGTTCACAGTAAGAGTTGACACAGGTCTGAGTAGAGTTAGGGTTAGATGTGCTTCCTAACAACAATGTGGTCAGAGCAGCACTGGGCTGATTAACTGTTTATCACCTCAGACTCAGCAGCTGTAGATTCTTCAGTTGAGGAGGCCTTTTCTCAGTAAGAGTAGGGGAGACTGGGGAACAAAGTAACACTTTTAGGCTTTTGCTTATTATGAAAATATTATTTGAGATAGATTAATAATATTTTTATGCAAACAACATGCATATCTCGGCTACGATTACACACTAAGTATGTTCCTAGGATATACCAGTCGTTTACAATTCAACCAAGTGGTTAATTAATTAATTAAATGTTACAATTGGCGAATGTAGGTGAATGTTACACAGGTTAACAATTAAATATATATTTACTTTAGGGCCTCAAAACCACTTTTTTTGTACATAAAACTAAAAGTAATTAATGGATTTAAACAAAACCTTTTGGGCATGTAGAGATACTAACCAAGCATTAGCACCTTGAATAAGAGCTTTAAGTGGTTTCTAATTGGAGTTATTTAGCGGTTACAACTGACCCTGTGTTACTAGGTTCCCCAGGCTACCCTACCTTCATGTAGAATATTTAAAGTGACTGATTTGCTAAAGTAAAACATTTGTAACTTCTTCAACTACCATATAAATGTTAAAGAGCTGAAGCAGGTCACACACTTTTACTTCATGTAAAATTACTTTTCTAGTTGTAATTTAAACGGTGTGGATATTTATTTCTTAATTGTTCACATAAAGTGTTGCCTTGAATGTTGGCTTGTAGGACGTATGATATACTATGAATCAATGTCTTATTTCATGACACTACAGAAATCATTTGTTTCAAGGAAACATTATATGCATTAACTCATGACTGTGGGGAGGAGTGCCATTTTCTGTCCAATTAGGTCATTTCTGGACAATATTTCTGCAAGTAAAATTATGGTTCTACTTTGGAATGGGGAGCCCACAGCCAATAGAGGATTTTATCCAACCCAACCCTCCTGGTCCAGTCTTGACCACTAATTATACCAGACAGGACGCATCTTCTCCCAGATATCATCACAGAAAAGTTCATCATTTAGTTAGATAATGTTTACCCAGTGGCATCCTGAAGCATGATTGATACATGTAAATAGTAAGATTAACACAATGCATATCTTCCATTCTTGTAAAGTATTCATGCTTGCAGAATGTCAAGGGAATTGAATAGCCTACCTAACATTGCAGACCCATATGCATGTGTAGATTGAATTGCAAGGCAAATATCGCGTTTATCACACCATTACACTAGAAACATAACACATGTATTAGCTACTACATGACTGATACTGCTACATACATGTTGAATAAAAGCATGCTAACGTTACTGTACTGTAGCCTGCATCACGTGCACACGATTTCACAACTTTATCACAACTTCACAGACGTCTTATACCATACAACAAAGGACGAATTGAAGCGATAGTATACATTAAAATAGCTACGATTGTAAAAGTATTATTGAAAATGCAGACAAGTGGTGGCTGATTCTACCGGCAGCTACCGATGATGCTGAAACCAATACTCCGTGTATCAGACGTAGATGACACCAGAGATAGAAGTGTATAATAATGTTTTCAATTCGCTTTTCCATTCTTACAACTTCACAGATGTAGCAAAAACATTACAATCGATTTCATTCAAGCTTGTAAAAGATACTTACTCTGTAACTCTCTCTCCCCGTGTGATGTAAACATTGATCCGATGCGGGGAAAGTGTCATGGCCGCAGTTAGTTTTTTGAAAATGATAGTTGGGGCCGAATGTAAAGTCAAAGGGCGAATATGATTGGACTAAACGTAAATCGGGCGATGGTCGTTGGATACGGAAAGCTTTTTCTTCAAAAAAGCTTTTGACTCAATTTGGCATGAGGGTCCGCTATACAAATTGATGGAAAGTGGTGTTGGGGGGGAAAACATACGACATAAAATCCATGTACACAAACAACAAGTGTGCGGTTAAAATTGGCAAAAAACACACACATTTCTTTCCACAGGGCCATGGGGTGAGACAGGGATGCAGTTTAAGCACCACCCTCTTCAACATATACAGTGGGGGAACAAAAGTATTTAGTCAGCCACCAATTGTGCAAGTTCTCCTACTTAAAAAGATGAGAGAAGCCTGTAATTTTCATCATAGGTACACGTCAACTATGACAGACAAATTGAGGAAAAAATTCCAGAAAATCAAATTGTAGGATTTTTAATGAATTTATTTGCAAATTATGGTGGAAAATACAGTGGGGAAAATAAGTATTTAGTCAGCAACCAATTGTGCAAGTTCTCCCACTTAAAAAGATGAGAGAGGCCTGTAATTTTCATCATAGGTACACGTCAACTATGACAGACAAATTGAGAAAAAAATAATCCAGAAAATCATATTGTAGGATTTTTTATGAATTTATTTGCAAATTATGGTGGAAAATAAGTTTTTGGTCACCTACAAACAAGCAACATTTCTGGCTATCACAGACCTATAACTTCTTCTTTAAGAGGCTCCTCTTTCCTCCACTCGTTACCTGTATTAATGGCACCTGTTTGAACTTGTTATCAGTATAAAAGACACTTGTCCACAACCTCAAACAGTCACACTCCAAACTCCACTATGGCTAAGACCAAAGAGCTGTCAAAGGACACCAGAAACAAAATTGTAGACTTGCACCAGGCTGGGAAGACTGAATCTGCAATAGGTAAGCAGCTTGGTTTAAAGAAATCAACTGTGGGAGCAATTATTAGGAAATGGAAGACATACAAGACCACTGATAATCTCCCTCGATCTGGGGCTCCACGCAAGATCTCAGCCCGTGGAGTCAAAAATCCCAGAACCACACGGGGGGACCTAGTGAATGACCTGCAGAGAGCAGGGACCAAAGTAACAAAGCCTACCATCAGTAACACTCTACGCCGCCAGGGACTCAAATCCTGCAGTGCCAGACGTGTCCCCCTGCTTAAGCCAGTACATGTCCAGGCCCGTCTGAAGTGCATTTCGATGATCCAGAAGAGGATTGGGAGAATGTCATATGGTCAGATGAAACCAAAATATAACTTTTTGGTAAAAACTCAACTCGTCGTGTTTGGAGGACAAAGAATGCTGAGTTGAATCCAAAGAACACCATACCTACTGTGAAGCATGGAGTGGAAACATCATGCTTTGGGGCTGTTTTTCTGCAAAGGGACCAGGACAACTGATCCGTGTAAAGGAAAGAATGAATGGGGCCATGTATCGTGAGATTTTGAGTGAAAACCTCCTTCCATCAGCAAGGGCATTGAAGATGAAACATGGCTGGGTCTTTCAGCATGACAATGATCGCAAACACACCGCCTGGGCAACAAAGGAGTGGCTTCGTAAGAAGCATTTCAAGGTCCTGGAGTGGCCTAGCCAGTCTCCAGATCTCAACCCCATAGAAAATCTATGGAGGGAGTTGAAAGTCTGTGTTGCCCAGTGACAGCCCCAAAACATCACTGCTCTAGAGGAGATCTGCATGGAGGAATGGGCCAAAATACCAGCAACAGTGTGTGAAAACCTTGTGAAGACTTACAGAAAACGTTTGACCTGTGTCATTGCCAACAAAGGGTATATAAAAGTATTGAGAAACTTTTGTTATTGACCAAATACTTATTTTCCACCATAATTTGCAAATAAATTCATTAAAAATCCTACAATGTGATTTTCTGGATTTTTTTTCTCATTTTGTCTGTCATAGTTGACGTGTACCTATGATGAAAATTACAGGCCTCTCTCATATTTTTAAGTGGGAGAACTTGCACAATTGGTGGCTGACTAAACACTTTTTTCCCCCCACTGTATATCAACGAATTGGCGAGGGCACTAGAACAGTCTGCAGCACCCGGCCTCACCCTACTAGAATCTGAAGTCAAATGTCTACTGTTTGCTGATGATCTGGTGCTTCTGTTCCCAACCAAGGAGGGCCTACAGCAGCACCTAGATCTTCTGCACAGATGCTGTCAGACCTGGGCCCTGACGGTAAATCTCAGTAAGACAAAAATAATGGTGTTCCAAAAAAGGTCCAGTTGTCAGGACCACAAA